ATACAACAACAATGTACATAAAAGAAAATAATTATACAGAAGTAAACACCCAATGAAATATAAACAAACAAGTGCAAGGATTGATTCGTATAAGGAACCAGGGTCCCCAGCAGAGTCGTCAGCTATCGCAACTGCGAAAAAAACACATGACAGAAAAAACAGAAGAGTCGCCACCAAACGTTATTTATCCTGATGCCGGGAAAGGAAGCGATCAAGGAAAACCTAAAAGAAGGGAGAAGACATGGTCGTCGCAACCAAATCTTGGGTTCGGGAGTCGGTTATGCGAGAGAAAGGTATTAGCACCCCCTCGCATCCGTTGTACTCAACAAGATCCATGCTTGTTGTCTAATCAAATGGTGAGTTATCTAAAGCCTACTGCTATAACAAAACAGAAACGGAAAAAAAATGAGACTCGATAGAACATCGCCACCCTATGCCTACGTATTCCCTCGTGCAATGGAAAAGTCATAGTCAACGTAGTTCGAAAAACTACGGGTGATGGGGGAAGGATGCTCACCAAGACATCATTGTCTTGTGCCTATGTATCCTCATCTGGTATGAAAAATTAGAGCAGCCGTAGTTCGTCTAACTACGAGTGAAAAAGGGAAAAGGGTACTCGGCAAGACATCATCGTCTAGTGCCTACATATCCTTATCTGGTATGAGAAATCAGATCAGCCATAGTTCGGCTAACAAAACCACAGATTGATTAAGTGTTTTTTATGAGCGACATTAGGTTCCCATTCCAGTAGTTAGGGTCAAAGCCTGTTTGCGGTAGAACAGAAAAATAACGTGCTCTTTCTAAAATGAGTTTGAAAGACAATCCCGCCGGATAAAAATGGTTTGAAGTTTGTTTGTGAGTTTTAGAGAAGTAAATTTATTTGATTTGAGATTCACATTGCACTAAAGTCTATGATATAAGAGCAAATGCGTCGTATATCGCTCCTAAACGGGACGTACACTAAACACTCTAGACAAGCAAGGAGAGACCCCTCACTCATCATTTCTTATATACTTAAGGCTCGTGGCACACAATGTTTATCGTCTTTATGAAGTGTGTTAAAGATTTGTTTTAAGATGGGAAGAGAAAGGACTCAAAGGTTGAAAAGAAAACAACTAAGGGAAACTAATTCCTAATGTTGTCATGCATAATGGTCTTAAAGTTGGGATAGGAAGGGAACTCTACCTAATGTTAGCATGCAAAGAGATAGACCTAAAGTTAAGGTTTGAAAGGGACTATCCTAATTGTTATCATGCAAAGGATTAAAAGCCTAATGTCTCTCCTACATCCAACTTAATCAGAAATTAAGTGGAACTAGGAATCCTAAGAGATCGTATGAATAAACACAAGTAAACATAATACTAATCAATCACCAACAAAAGCAAACTCAAAAGCTAGAAGAAAAAAGAAAGAGATGAAGAGTAAGAAAGTGTCAAAGCAACATAAGATGAAAAGAATTCTACATTAATTCACAAGTATCACACCAAAATTATAGCATGTTTATCAAATGAATCAAGACATCAAAGATGGATAAAACACATAATCAATCATCACATCGTCATGGGTACATTCTCAAATTCAAAAGGGAAAATGAAGACAATTAAGGAATTGCACAAGCCAACTTGTTTTAGAACCACAATTGAACATCATGAAGCAACATACCAAACCAAAATGAATTCAACAAGATGAAAATCAATCTAGGGCAGTAGCAACATTATGAATAACACTCCAAATATCAACTCAAGAATCTCAAGAAGAATCAACAAGGATCAACTTCAAAACATGCATCAAAACTAAGCAAGTCCATACCATGATCAACTTCAAATGAAAACATGTATTCAAGCAAGGTATAAAGTGAAAATTGATCGAGTAATACACACCATAACATGAAGATCAGAAGCAAACTCAAACGGCTCAATTCATATCCAAAACCAAGACATCAAGTATGTTCAAGAAAGATCAAGTTCAAATCATGCTCAAGGAAACACCCAAATCATCCACACAAGAGAACATGTGAATAAAGGAGTGAGAAATGACCATACAATGGAAACATAACATGAATATCAGAATCTTAACCAAGCCATTTGAATCATACAAGAATCATGAACCACAAGGAAAATCTATTCAAGAAACAAGTCCTAAAACTAGGTCAAGCATTACGCAAGTTCATGTTCAAACATCATCACATTGAAAAATCAATTTGAAGCACTTAGATGATCATACAAAAATGAAACCAAATCTCAAACTCATGTTAAAACAATTAAGAATAAGCATAGAAGAGATCTCAACAGGAGTTGCATGAATACACCACCAAAAGAAATCCACAAGTCCAAGCATGTTATGAATCGAGGAATAAACAAAACCAGGTGAGAAATATCCAAGAAATGATCATCAAGGCATCAAAATGGCATTCAAATATTCACCAATCATTAGTCAAAACATAGTTATGAGATTAGGTCAAAATTATAATCAAATGGCATCAAGAGCATAAACTCTAATTCAAGGGTAAATATTCCAAACCACTTCACATTTTAATTCAAAATAAAATAGGAAAATAAATTGAAAAATAAAATAAAAATCATGAAAAATATCTCAACGTGTCAAAGATTCAGAAATATATTTTTTTGGAATTTTATCTTGATTAGAAGTATTTAAAATTAATAAAAATAAAATCAGAATAATACAAAGGAAGAAAATAAAATAAAAATGACAAATGGAGAGCATGGGATGCATCAATAATTATGGGAAAACAAGATAAACAGGTACACACACGCGTTGGACCATATACAGGGTGGTGCCAATAACAATATGTACAAGGCCCAAGTCAAATCTACACACTTAGCCAAAAAAAGAAGAAAGAAAAAGAACAAGGTACACAAAACATGTAGACCTTTCTCAATCGGTCACCCAAAATTTTAAGTCACAAAAGACAAAACATTAACACAATAAATCAGGCCATGACACCTCATCATCTTCCTCATGCAAGCATACAAAAATGGAGAAAACCCTAGACTAAACACGCATGACCCCGTGGATTTCTAACAACTTAAACATCCATTGTCGTCATCAATTTTCAACCAAAATCAACGAAATAAAATAGAAAAATGAAGTACTCCATGAGTAGAACAACAAAACACCAATTAGATCTCAAAATAATGGCTCTAGCATAAAGAAAATTGGAACAAAATTGAGGTATTTAAAACTGAAAAGCAAAGATGTCAACAATGGTAAACAACACACATTCTATCAACCAAGTAATGCCATCATTTCATGCCTTCCAGATGCAATGTATGAGCCTATCGTGTGATTCTAAAATGTAAAGGATGAAGTTTAGAGGAGCTTACCAAGTGGAAAAATTCCACCGCTCCTTCAACTTTGTGTAAAATGCTCTGATAAATGCTTCCACAAGCTTCTTTGTGTCTTAATGAAGATTAAAAGTGCAAGAAAGGATGACAAACTTGAAGAGGATGATGGCTCCAAGAGAAAGATGAACTTGAGGTTTTTGTGTATTCTAGATTTGGATTTTCCTGAATGAAATCCTCTCCCTTGTTTTAGGGTTTATGGAACTTATATATGATGGGTAGAGGTTGTTTAGGTCCGGCCCAAATGAGAAACTTTTGTTTGAAAGTATTTTGTTAAAAAGAGAAGTTATGAGAATGACGTGCGGGTCATGGTGTGTAGTCATTTGTTTAGGGTGGTTTTCTGAGTAAAAAATGTCATGAGAGATGTATGAAATGGATGGCACGTGAGGGAGGGAATTGGAAGAAACATGAGTACAATTTTCCTTTCCAATTTTGCCAAAAAGGTGGTGTGAGGTGTATGGTTAATATGTGTCATACCCCAAATTTTACCCTTAGATTCATTGATCATTTGCATATCGTCTAAGTCAAACATCCATGTACAACTAACCTTTTTCTTTTAGTTGTTGTGTTTTGTGGGTTCATTGAAGGAAGTCTGAAAGTCATGAACCTCTGTGCATGCCCACCAGGATTCTATTCTTCTACAGGTCGTGGATATAATGGAACAATATACACTCAAGTTCATGATCAAGTAGCAACGATCTTGATCCGAAGCCTAATTTGTTTGATGACATCATTCTAAAGCCACTTGTCCAGAAAGGTCATGGCATGCATGAATTAAGAGCATGAACCAATCATGATTGGGTCTTGGTGTTTCAATGGGATATTAAAGCCAGGATTAAAGTTGAGTCCTCAAATCATTCCTGATCATATTCTAAGTTATTACATCACATGTGTTTTCAGAGGTTACGCATGAATTCAAGATGTCTTAATATGACCAATACATTTCTAAGTTGATCATGAAAGAATATTTCAAGAAAACTGTTGGTTACGCCTCAGGTTATTTTTCAAAGGCCATACGGTTTCGGGCGTGTTTGAACCATTTGAGAATGGCGGCATATTTGCATATGGTCTTAATTAAATCCTCGAGTTCGCTCCAAAGATACGTTCAATTCAGGTTTATTTGGATCAACGCTTCAAAGAGTTTCTTTTTAGATCCTGTGGTCCTAATTAAACTCGAATTAGTTTTTTTTGGTTCAAAGTTACAATATTCAAATTCAAATTCATCACAATATTTGAACTACAAGTTGAGATTCATATTTATAATTCAAAAGTTCTTAGTTCAAAATACTTAAGATACAATGTAAATTTGGAAACATGAGGTTCAAAGCCATGTTTACTCGTTGGTTTATGATTAGGAGGGATTATATAACAGTACTTATACATAGTGTCATGCGCTGCTATTTGCCATTTAAAACGAGGAAGAGGCATTGATGCACCATCTTGGAACTATAACCATGTGCCAAAAGCTGATCATTACATCTTATAGTTACTACATCCCAATTCTCTAATTAGCATTACAATATAAGGATCCATACAGCCCAAGTTCTAGTCGACAAAGTGTTGGCTTCGCAAGTGGCCATCACGGTAGCTATTCCCCACATGTTCCGGCCGCGGGTTTGCCTAGAGGTTAATTGGAATTCAAAGTAGTAATGAACCCTGAACATTACACAACACTGCCCTGTCAAAGATGAAGGTTTCGCAAATTACGGTTGGAATGTAACGACGTCCTGCAGTGGAAATAATTCCAAATTGATTAAATACTCAAAGGTTGTGCTTCAGAGAGATCATAAGAATAAAAGTATTCACGGCAAGAAACTCCAAGATTTCACTTACCGGCAAGGCTCATTAAGAAGAGATACAAAAGCACCCTTTGTCTGTACAGGACTGTCTTAGGGAGATTGGTTTGAGCAACACGGTTCATTCTTCGAATTTCGCCTGTATAGCAAGATGGAATAAGATCGGATCCTGTAAATTCCAACCACATGGATAAGACAAAATTACCATCATTTATGCGGGCTATGATTAGGGATCAGATCATTTACCTATGTTCATGAGGAGGAGTCGAAAATGACACTAAGCAGGGTCGTGCGTCTGTCCATTACCGCAAGCCATTTCAGATTCTGAAGGAACTAATTTCGCAAGTCGTCACTTCGTTTTAAAAACCCACAAGCCACCAAATTGCGACCACGTCCTGAAAATAGAAGCAAAGAAGATGTTAAGGAAAAGTTAAAGATTAATAATAAAGAAGGGAAGTGGTTATAGAACAGCTAACAGCAAATCCTCATCTGCAAAGGGTATAGGAACATCTTCCAACAAGAGGCACATTTCAAATAAACATCCACGCTTCAACAAAAAAACAATGGGCAGTAGAAAACCTTGAAAGTTTGTTCCATGTAAGAGTCGACAGCCCACAGTGGCGAAATTTCAAATTATGCAAAGTTATTATTAAAACCAAAGTGTACCTTCTGACGTTTGTAGAAATCTCGACCAGTGGCTCCAAAGATGCTTGCAAGCAGCACTAGTCATCAACATCCTCATTGCCTGCTGCATTTGCGCAATCCAAGTAAGAAGGCTTCAAAACTTTCAAGGTGTCACAGGATCTTATGCGGCACAAAAAGGACGTGAGGCACCGAATGGCAAGTCATAGCTGCCTGGAAACCCGGAACTCATCAGTAAACACCAAGACATTCAAATCTAAAGCTCAACTTTTGTTCAAATTTATGATATAGGCCACTTCAGTAAGAACATTACCTTGTAAAGTGATGTTTCAATAGGGTTGCTTCACGGTCCAGGATCCAGCTATTACCGCCATATACATGAAACTTCATCGTACCTGAATAATAAACAACACAAAACACGTTTGTGAGTAACTCATGAGTTAATCAGGCACATCAACAATGCATTGAAGATAATGGATAGAATATAAAAACTTCACTCAAACTCCAAAATGCAACTCATTATTTTTTCTTCAAACAGAAGCCTGCCGCCATTCAGTTTCTCCAAGTCGGAAGCCAAGAAAACTCTGAGGAAGTACATTTCACGACCTGTCCAATACAACAAACAGAACAGATATTTCAAATGTCATGATTCACACTAAATGCTTACGTTGTATATCAAAAAGAGAAAAAATAAGAGACAACAAAACATCATCAACTTCGTTTAAGTGAAAATCAAACGGTTCAAAAACATGTCTGGACAGGTTTAGCTCAAAATGGAAATGCTTTAAGTTTCTACTGTAAAAAAGAAAGTAAATTAATAGAGATATCTCAGCATAACCAAATTTCGAAAACAAAATCCAACAGAAGTGGAAAGCCATATATCATACTTCAGACAAGATTAGTCCGAAAATGGAAGGACTTCAAAGAGTGTTTTTTCAATATGGAATAAGTTTTTAAGACAATATCAAGCACTATTAATTTGTTTCAAAACCAAGATGTTGCTCATTCAATACCAAAATCAGGAAATAGTCTCACAGAAAGTGTATAAAAGCAGAACGAATTCACATATTCAGGGGATTCACGAACAACCATTGACAGAAATCCCCAAATTCATAGACCCACAAATCCTACAACGACAAAGAAAAAGAGAGTAGAAACTTATCTGAGGGTATTCCATTGTCACTGTCGTTGCGAAGCTCGCGCCATCATCACCTCCCTCAAAACCCCGACAGAAAGCGCCGCGCCATACAAACCCGTCGCTTTTGCCACGATTCCGCCATTTCCTTCGAAATCTGCGAAGAACCCATTAAACTGTGAGAACTCTTGTTTTAACAATTTAATTTTTGTTGTGTTTGATTTGTGCAGAAGGAGGAAGAAAGGGATAGATAGAAGATCGAAGAAGTTGAAGCGTTGAGAAGGAGTGGGTAAAGAAGAAGAGGAATGCGCCGCTGAGGAAATTGGGAATTAGGGTTCCGTAACCCTTTCTTCCCTTTTGGTTTGGGACTGGGCCGGGTTCGGGTCTGGGGTTTCATCACCCAGCCCGACCCGCTTTTTTTTTAATTTATGTTTTTATGTTTCCTTTTCTTTTATTTTTCTGTTTTATATTTTTGTAATTACTTATTATTATAATAAAACACTAACATAACTAACCATCTAACACTAACCAATAACATGATTTAAAATCTGAACTTTAATCTAATTATAAAATAAAAAAAGCATTTTTGGTTAAAAATAAAAATATACAAAAATATTAATTTTGGTTTTATATCATGTGATTTGGCTTAATTGTTGATAATTATTAAAAATTAAAAAAAAAGATAAAAATATTAATAAAAAAACAAATTTAATAATAAAAAAAACAACTTCAGTTTTAATTTTAATTTATTTTCTCTTTTATAAAATTTAAAATAGCCAAACATTTAATTAGGTTAATTTGTGATTTAATAAAGAAAATGTAAAGTTTCAATTTAGTTTTAATTTAAATTTCTCTTTTCCATAATAAAAACAAACAAAAAAAACATTTAGGTCAATGTTCAATTTCTTTTGTTGCATAATAATTAAAAACAAAAAATAACATTTTACTCAAATCTATCCAAAAAAAAACATTGTTCTAGATCCTAATTAATCAAACTTTTCAATATGTTGTTAATTAATCCTTTTTCTTAAAAAAATAATAAATCCTTTTTTTTCTTAATACAAGATTAACCAATTTAATATAAATTCTCAAAACTAAAAAAAACCTTTAATTCCAACTTTTTCATTCAACTTAATTTCTACCCAAAAATGCTAACATCTTAAATTACATAAAACTCTAAGAAAAGTCGTACAATCAATTAACCACTCTAATCTCTAAAATTCATTTTCACTTCACTGATACACTTATTTATAATTCGCTTAATCATAACCTGCAACTAGCATCGCTATCAATTACCGTTGCTATCATCACTGCTTATCATTCTGCATTTTGATCTCCATTGCGCTTTATTTTCCATTTTACCGCTTAAATTCCCCTCCGAAGGGAAGGTTACCATGTTTGACCGCCGAGTCAATTTTGCCTCACCTTCACCCCCATCCTAGCCTTAGGATCTGAGTCGCCATACTCATGCTTAGGCGTCCCGCCGTGGACATCCAACCCTTTTACCCTAGCCTTAGGATTAGGAGTTGTCGTACTCCACATAAGTTTCCCATCGTGGAATACTTATCCCTACCCTTTTAATTCAAACTTATAACGTAGAAATAGGAGTCGCCGCACTCCAAAGTAAGCGCTTCCTTATGAACACTTACTTCCCCCCGGAACCTTGACCACGGTCAAGAAGTTCCCATTCCTCCCTCCGTGAGGGGAACTACAATTACTCTGATTCCATCCCCTACCCAGGATACGTAGGCACAAGATGCGAGTCTTGGTGAGTAAACTTAGGACTACCCTTTTTAGATCCTTCTCTTTACCCTTAACCCTTAGCATTACCTTTAAGCAGATAACTATAGCAATAGCACATTTAAAACAAGAGGTTCTTGTAGAGTACTACAGAAGTTTAGGATGTTAATACCTTCCCTAAGCTCAACCAACCCCCGAACCCTAGATTTTTCCCGTGTTGTGTTTACAATGCAAAAATAGGTTTTCCCCTTTCTTTAACCTTTCCTTCGGATAATGGCGACTTCACTGGGGAAAATATCTGAGTGGGTTTCCCTAACTTGTTTTATCATGCTTGTTTATTGTTATATGTTTGATTATCTATTTATTTGTATAATTGTCTGTCTGTTGCTTTTGGGTTGATATCTTTGAGTGGTGAGACAAAGTCCTACACCCGGACTTAAGTGAACTTAAGATAGGATAGTGATATGTTCGACGAGACTTATAGGGGGTTGAATCCCGACTAAGTTGACTTGAAAATCACGCTCAATTGAGGCCCTCTCGAAAGTTGTATTGTTGAACGAGTTTTAATCGTGAAAACATACACCATTTTCGATGTTGGAGCCTATGATATTGAGGACCGTAGTTACCTTAACCCCACTTTGGCCTTTATTAGGATGTAGTGTGAGGACTATGAGGGAGTACTCTCAAAATAGTTGCTACGCGATACTACACTCAAAAGAGGTTTTCTTGAGAATATTATTAACCACCGAGTAATTGGGAAATTGATAATATCCGAAAGATGGGCTAATGACTTTGGGCACCTCTTTAGAACCTTGTTCTGCAGGTACAATTAACCCATAGTACTTACATTTCGGGATGGGTAGACCTTGGCCCCACTTTTGTTCCGCTAACCTAGGACCTTCGTATGCTTGTGTGTGCTTGTGCATTGCATCCTGCATCACATCATTCCTGGTTTCAAGGAATCCAACTGTCCTTTGCAAATCCAAAAATCTTGAATCTCAAAGTCTAAAACCTTTTTCAATTTTTCCTAGAGAATATTTACAATCGACCGTTGAAATCCTTGAAACCTTTGCATTGCATTTTGCATCCTGTCTTTGCATTTGCATTTTCCTTCCCGTTTCTCATTGTCGGTTCTCTCGCTTCTAGTTTTGTCACCATGAGTCCTCGGCACCAGTACAACACCAGAGCCCGAGCTTGGAAAAAGATGGCGGAACAAAATCAAAAGCTTGATTGTGTCAGAAATGAACTTGAAGACCTTAAGGGAAGTGTTGGGCAAATAATGGGGATGCTTCAGGCCATTAATGCAAGAATGGATGCTCAGCCTACTGTTGTTTCTGGGATTACCGGTAATATTGTGGACCTTCAGCCAACTGTTACTGTTGCAGATGGACCTCCCTATGGTCTTTCACCTGGTTTTGTGCCGACTCCTCCTACGGTTCCTATTGCTCAACCAATTCAACAAGTTGTTCCTCCAAAGTTCAAGACTCCGAGTTTCGACCGTTATGAAGGTGCTACTTGTCCGAAGAGTCACTCGGCCATGTACTACCGTGAAATGGTTGCTCATCAACCTTACCAACATCAGCAGAATCATGTTCAACGACAAGGTTATCCAGTTCAGCATGCTCAACAACCGTATGGGGCTGCTGTAACACCTGTTTTCAACCAGCAAATTCCTACATATCAGCTTGTGCAACTGGCTCCTATTTATCAGCCTCCGGTGTATCAACAACCTCCTAGTT